CACGTGCTTATATACCCACGCCGGGTACCAATGCCCAACGCAATTTGTGTGCAACACGATGAGCTTGTGCATGAGTACCAGCGTCCATAAACTTCTCTAATGCTTACAACTGTCCAATAATTAGCTGTCCCGCTATAATATAATGCAGATGAAGATCAGTGTTTGCTGTTTCAGAGATGTGACTGGGTCCAAGAAATGATACCACACTGTACATGTATAGTACCAGTAAGTAAAAAATATCTTAGTTTCATCCAGAGGCTACAGGGCATGACACTTGTGATTTTGAAAGGGGAGGGGGTTTAAGGGTGAAACCAGGTACAATTTGGTCTCTGTACCGAAAAATTTAATTGCCTGATTTTAAAACGTAATTAGTAAACACTAATCAAACTTGCTAAGTATTCAAGTATGTAAATATTTGTTATATAGATAGTTTGTTCTGTTATATTGGATTGTAGTTATAACAACATAAATGTCACATTGCCTTTCTTGTGTGTAATATTGATTTACGGAAAACCCCAGCAAAGGTTTATGTATAGCTTCACATCATGAAGAGTGTACATTCATTACCACAAGCTTCATAAAACTTCTTTAAAAAAGTCACAGCAAGTTGCCATATGCACAAAAGTTGATGCCTGTTATGACCTAATCCGCAGGCATTTTCCAGACTCCAAAGAAAAAACAACCCAAATTTAAAACAAGTTGTCAAGAGTAGTACCCAATTATGCAGACATTCCAGACTTCACTAGAGAAGGCATTCACATTGTAAACAGTTAAAGAAAGTACAGATTTGTTAGATTTTTTGCAAATGTCAGACATTGGTATGGAGATGCTTTGGGAAGATTTTGTCGGAGTTCACAATGGAACAAAGGAATGGTTAGTGCTAGAACACATTCTTAGCACCATTTAATTATTCTGAGAAAATTGCAGATTGAAAGAAAAAAAACCAGTCGGAAAGATGGTCAATGCTCCGGACATACAAATTGAGAGTATAATAACAAAAAAATTAATAATGCAACAATCAGTGAGACAGCTAAATGGCTACAAGAAATTCAACCTGATCTCTCCCTTTATCCAGTTACAAGAAAATTAATCTGGATTTATGACAAACTTATGAAACTGAACAAAAACAAGCAAAGGAAGAAGAGTGCTGAAAAACTGAAATGATTCCTTGAAGAGAGATTCCAATTTCTAGTCTGTACCCAGACTGCATCAGGTTCTCAGTATCTTCCTGTTCCAAGACCTCATTCATTGATGCTGCCAGGTAAGCTTAGTCATCTTCATAACCCATCCACTTCCAACATATTGGAGAAGGCAGTAGCAGAGCAACTCAAGACCACAGATGACAGAGTAAAAGAGCTGGCAAAGGAATTACAGCAAGTGAATGGGATTGCTGAAGAGAAGAATAAGCTGGTGAAAACCCCAGAGAGCAGACTGGTGAATAGGGAAACTACTGAAGAGGGAAAGGGGACGTGCACACTACTACAGAAAAAAAGACAGAAGGCATACAAAAGGTTGAGAAGCCAGAACTATCTGAAGAACCGTGTCATCAGACAGGGATCTTGGAGCAAGATGAGTTGGAAGATTTGAGGAGGCAAAAGTGGAGCTGGAATACAGATATGACATTCTGAAGGAAGAAATTTCCAGTGATATTGGTGACTTGTATAATGAAGAGGAAAGGGAATTTACACCCGAAACCCAAAGATGTGTGCATGCATTACTTTCTGAAAATATAGCAACAAATTGAGTGGTTAGCGTTATCTCTGAAGTAATACAACTGGCTGGAAAGACTACTAACTGACTTCCAAGTCAAACAACAGTCTGCAGCATAAACATACAATGACTTGTCATAGCCCAAAAGCCTGTTGCAGAAGAGTTGCCATCAAAAGAGTCTACCACTTTAGCGACAGATGAAACATCAAAATATGGAAGTAAATATAGCGCTTTCACCATTGAAGATGACAAGAGACAACCTTTCTTGGTAAGGCTAAGGGATCTTGCAACAAAAACAGCAAAACACACGCTGGATGTGTTCAAGGAGATACTTTGGAATATAGCGAGGGTCTACTTCAAACCCACAAATAACATTTTGTGTCCCAGAATTTATTGTTTCATATAAGAAATATGATGTCAGATCGTGTGGCAACAGGGGCCAAGTTTAACAAGTTGCTGGAGGCTTACATGTACATGTATGGGGCAGAGATATTGCCAGCCATGACAGAAGGATGGCCAGAGTAATGAGGATCTTCGAACTACACTAAAGAGGTTGAACAACTTCTTTTGAGCTCTCCACGGCCTGTTACATATGGCCGAAGTGGTCAACACAGCATCGAAAGAAGTGGAAGCCCTTCACTTTGAGGGAGAGGAAGAAGTCCCTGTAGAAGATGTTAGATTTAAAAAGACACCAGAATCAGGAACTTGTCGTATGATACGGACTGCATGCAATGTCCTCGCCTGTGGCGGTGTTGCCAAGACCAGTTGTCATGGGAGATTTAAGAGCATGACAGGTGAGGAACTCAAGAAATATGGGTACAGAAGCTTACCTCTAACACTGTATAGAGGTAACAGAGTTAATATACTGTTTCGCAATGCTTGTGTTGTGTTTCTCTTGCACAAGCATATGATTGAGTTCCTTCAAAAGGACAGAGGGGCACCTTGGGTCCTTCAGGATGTTCCATTTTTTGGCTGGATGCAAAGCATTTGGATTGATAGGCAAACTTATCACTGGCCCTCTGTTGAATCTTATCATATCATATCATTCATATCTTAGATATGACTGACTAATATCTGCAGTTGGTGACCTTCTTGGCAGATGCTGATGTAGAGCACTTTTATGGGTGGGCAAGCAAGGCCCTTCCTAGATGTCAATGTTAAAGAAGATGTGCTATACCATGTCCTTACTGAACCCAGTCAGTATGATGGAGATTGTGAAGTCTTCCTACAGTCTCTTCTCCCGGCAACGGCCAAACTGGTCAAAAAACTTTATCATGATTATTTGGCAGGTAGCAAATAAGGAGGTGCCTCGGAAGAAGTCAGGAGAATGTCAAAGGGTATAGCCAAGCATACTAAATATTGTGAGACAGTGTTTGTCCTGTAAAGCTGCTACGAACATGACCCCACATCTCTACATTAAAAGCAGAAGCGAGTGTCATGTTCCCTCTCAACAAAACAGCAGAATGGCTGGATGCTAAGAGCATGGAGGAGGAGAAAGATCCCGATAGATTCTCGGAAGATGGTAATGGATGTTGTTAAGGCAGTTAAGAAGAGACAACTGAAAATTAAAGAGAAAAAGGCAAGGCAGACTAAACGAGAAAATGGAGAGAGCTGAGGTACCCGGAAAAGGGCCCATCATATATTGGGGTCTCCTTCAACAGGAAGATGAAGTTACCAAGGCAATGGAATGCCTTTTCAATTCAAACAAGTTGGAGTTGCTCAAGGCGCAAATAAAATGTCAGAAGAATGTGTTGGATCAGAAGCCCATGCAGCAACCCAAAACTATTCAATTGTTTCACTCAAAGTCAAGCAAAAATGAGACATCAGCTGACATCTCCTGCGTTAATTAAGTATTTAAAACAAAATCCCTTAATTCTCAGATTCCAGTAATTCTTTCAATATTGTAATAATCTTAGCAAGACCTTTATTTTACTCTATACAGTTTGCGCTGTTTTTCTTCACTTACTGATATAATGAAACACTGAATTTTCCAAAATGTGTGGTAGAAGTGGTACTTTTACAAGCCATAACTTCATAACCCATTGTTTAATTTAAATACATGTAATTCTTGTTTTGTTGCATTTGTCTCATCGAGACCTTTAATGCGATATATACACTGTAGTTTGTCCATATTTTCTCAAAAAATAATTTTGGGGTAATATACAATGTACATGTACCAACATCTACTCAGGTTAGCTATAGCCTCTGGGAAGATTTGCTTCAGAAAGCGCAAATGGAGGTTTTCTCTGATACAATCACTTAATGATTGCTGGGTACTTTTCAAATGCCATGGCATACAGAACCATCAAAAAGATGGACCCGACAAGGCCTACGGAGAAGTGCCTTACTGTTCGGGAAGTACATGTACATCCCAAAAAGCTGTGATGGAGCTAAATTAGCGAATGTAGTCTGCTTCCTTGACCTGAATCGAGATACTGTATGTTGTGATGAATCCAAAATGCACGAACAAACTGACCTGATTCGACTGAGCAGTTGTCTTTTGCCAAATCGCATTAAAACTTGGAAGTCAAAATTTACGTAAACTACGTGTAGGTCTGTCAGGATTGAGTAATGGTATCCTTAAGGTCAAAATGTAACTTAGAGAAAGTGGATTTTGTTTTCTTTTATAGGAACAGGGTGCTAAAGGTAATGAATGCCAAACAAATCTCCATCCAGGGCAAGGAACCAGACTACATTCGCTTATTTGTCGTTCACAGATCTCTGCGGGGTGGTCATGTACGTGTACGCTGCCATTTTACCAAACAAATTCTCTCAAAAACTGACAGCCCTGTTCTCTTTTCCTTCTGATATAAAAGGACATCACCAACAACTTGTTTTGATAAGTTATTTCGAAAAAGTAGAATTTGTTCCCTTATAATGGGAACAGGGTGCACGGGTGCTAAAGGTAGTGAACCCTCTTTTCCTACCTCCATGGGTAAACTAACCATGCAAATTCGAATTCACTATGCATGCCATATGTCATGATAAAACACAGTTTCCCCTCAAAATTTCCTCAAAACCCTACCCTTTTTTGAAAGTAACCCTACAGTTATTGAGCATGATGTCAGTTGTCACAGTCATCTCCCAATGTGAATTCAAATGTTAAAATGTAACTCTCTCCTTTATTATAGGAACCGGGTCCCCAAATTTACAATCTCCCATTTTTCAAATGACATCCCTCAGGCCTCACCTCTCTCGAGCTCTGCTGACAATTTTTTGTCTGCCTTGCCCCCGGGCCATAGGTGTCCCCCTGAATCTACAGTACAGAGATGATCCTGGGCCATACTTACACAATCCCACAATTTCTTGGCCCAAACAGACACCTCTTTTCATACTTTTCGAAAGAATCTGTAGGGGACTTGGAGAACTTCCTTTACACTGCACTCTGATGAATCCAAAATGCCTGAGTCACGTAACTAGACGAGAAACAAAATTGCGTGATTCGACTGAGCAGAGTTGCCTTTTGCCAAACTCGAGTCAGAAATTTGTGGTTTTCTTGCTTAAGCCTTAAGTATTGTCAAAATTTACCTCAGCTAGACTGGGCTATCAGATTGAGTAATGGTTCCTTAAGGACAAAATGTTTGTTAGTTTGAGAAAGTGGGCTTTGTTTCCTTTTCATAGGAACAGGTCCTAAAAGTAACGAACACCCAGTCTCAGTAGGCCTACCGTGTACCCGGTACCCTGCAGCAACCTGTGCTGGTTTCTTTTCTTCATCGAGTCAACCATTGCGCTTGCAATGGACATGTTACGCCCCAACTACAGCATAAGTCCCAACTATAGTTAGAGCAGTCCCAACTGTAGTGCTGGCCCAACTATTGTTGACCAACGTCTGTGGGAAATGTCTCAACATCATCCAAGTTAATGTGTCTCTCACTTGACACAATTCATCTAAAATGTGGCACTTTATCTGTTCATCTAGCCTATGACCAATGACATAACATTTGTAAATGACATGACTTTGGTACATGCTGAGCACATCATGTACACAGAACCTCTCTGCTGTAGTTGGGCCGGCCCAACTTTGTACCACTCTAGTTGGGACCGATGCTCTAGTTTGGGCGTAACAGAGACAATATAAACCACCGTGTACGAGTGGTTGCGTCCAACCTCGACTCTACGGGCTGCGTATAGTAAGGAGATCGCGCAAGATATGTAGGAACCAACGTTGCAACGTTTGAGTGGCAAGATCGTTCCCATGGGAAGGAGGTTGAGTAGTAAATGTTATACATCGCGCATATATGCATGCAGAGCACGTCAAGTCTTCTCTATCCACAGTACATGTAAATGTGCATGGATGATGTACTATAGTACGCGAAGTCAACATAGTTTCAAAGATGCCTGAAGTAATGCAGTTGCCTCATGATGAGGAGCTAAGTGTACCTGTACTTCCTTTAACATCATCAGCGTTAAGAGCAGGTGCTCATCATCTGGCAAGACAATGTGATAAGCCGAACAAAGTAAGCCAAGATGAAAGCTACGATGGCTTCATTTTTTATTACGGTGCCCCGTTGCCACCATGGAAAGCTGCCTCATCCCCACTTCGCCCCATCCCCACTTCGCCCCGCCGTCACGTTGCCCCTTTTCAAGTCGCCCGAGTCGTGTTTTATTGTTTGGACACATGTTGGAAACTTAGGCATAAAGGCGCCTTTTTATGGCATGGATTGTAGCCCAGGTTGGGCGTCGTCTACATTGTCATTGCATTGTGACTAGACCCGTAGACAGGGCCCGATGAGTACTCCTCCGTCGTATACTGGGCCTGTCCCAATTAATTAATTTCTTTCGAAAACTTTATGTGTGACATCCGGGGTCATAACTAAACATCCGCTTAATTTTATGAGCTGAAATTGCATAGGTATGTTCACTACTTACGCTGTAAACAGTCCACTAGGTTGCTAATTGTAGAAACTTGCCTTTTCCTCGTTTGGGGAAAAAAAGTTGCCCTTTTTGCAGTTTTCCCACTCCGTACGAATTACACAGATTCCTCTGTATGGTTAAGTAATGGTACCGTGTACGAGAGCCTGTATAGTTTGCACCCAGACTTCAGCACCTACATGTACGTATCTCGTTCAAAGATATGCAAGAGTACCTGTCGATCTAAGTACTCATAGAAAATTACAGCTGTTTGGTGTCGCAGCTGTTGCCTGGTTCCCTGTCCAGTCACACACTGTTTGCAGCAAATTATTGGTAATGCGGCTCGCTCTCTGTAACGTGACACGAAAGTGATGAAACAGCCGTCGCTTTTGTGCAAGTGGGGCAAACTTTGTCCGGAGTGGGAAAACGACAACAAAGGGCATCTTTTTTTTTCTCAAATGAGGAAAAGGCGAATTTTCTACAATTAACAACCTAGTGGATGAGTTACACCGTAGTGAACATATCGGTGCAATTTCAGCTCATAAAATCAAGCGGATGTTTAGTTATTCACCCGGATATCCTGGATAACTTTTTCGAAAGAAATCCCTATGAATCGGGACATAGCCCTGTATACAAGGGAGGAGTATTTGTTGGGCCCTGTTTACGGGTCGACATTGTGACCAACATCCAGGGTACAGTTGATTGTCTGGTTCTGCTAAATCGAAAAATAGTCTTTGTTTTCAAAAATATGGAATCATTGATGACTCTGGTCAAAGCACTGTTAGACAGGTTATGAAACTTATTTCGGAAAAAATATATTTTACGTACCGAACATCCACCGCAATTTATAAAAACCGGCCACGACCGTTGTTGGCCGACTACGCTTAGGGGATAGTGCGCATGTGCATCACGTGCAGTGTTGCGTTCGTTCAGTGGGATGATGGTCCTGGGGAATTTTTTCAAAACGTCAACCGAATTATTATCGGAAACTACCAATATTTGCAACACAGAAATATGAGTTGTGTATTTTCCTGCATAGGACATATGTCTTCTTTGGGAAAGTAAATAAATACCAGATTTTTGTCCAGTTCCGCAAATAGTGTAGAAGCCAGTTTTACACCAGGAAATTGACCGTGATCCCTGCAGACCAAAGGCGCTGGGTAAGGATCTCCTCTTTGGTTTCTTCTCTGAACTTGAGGTGCTTAACACGATAATTTAATAGATAACAGATGGGTCAAAACAGTAACTCTTTCCTTTCTGTGTGAACTAGTGACTTTTAAAAATGGGCAAAATGCATTTTGTCCTTTTTTTCAGGAATAGGAGACTTAAAAATTGAGTGGTGGTAGGGTTTTTAACAAAAGACAGGCTTGCACGTTCAGCCATATTATTCAAATTTGTTAATTAACTTTATTCCAGGTTCCCCAAAGCTGGATCTTATGACACCGAGAAGCACATTAACATAAAAAAAAAGACCTTTCGCAGGCAGTTTTTAGTACAATAAATTTCAACTCAAAGGGTTTGAATGTGTTTCTGTTGAAATGTATAATGGGTACATGTAATTCAGTATCATGCAACAAGATTACACTTTTTCATTTTTAAAAGCTGGCATCCCTGCAAGATGTACATGGAGCTTCATGACTCGGCTTCTTGAGGATTCTGCTTGGACATTATCATTTCCTGGTGCCTTTCCATTCTTTAGAAACTTCATGGCATTCTCCAATTCTTTCAGGGTGACAGTGTCAGACATTGGAGCTAGACTTTGGGTGGATGAGAGGTGTTTTTTGATCTTTGTACTCAACTGATTGGATGTCGGCTATCACCTCAAGGGTGCTTTCCATCCTCTTTTCGTTATTAACAACAGAAACAATGGAGTCAGCAGTACATGTATATGACACTGTTTAGAGGCTCTGCTTCAACCATGAGTTTGTTCAAACTTGATACTAAGTGCAGAAACTCTTTGTTGCGTTACATGTTCTGCAAGTTGTGTGAGATTTTAGTTCTTTTCTAGTCAAAATTCCATTCACTTTATACACATTTTTTTCTCATCAGAACCTTTGACTGCAAACAAAAATCATATTTCAATAAAACTCCACACAAGCAAAGGCCCTATACAGACATGGTATCTTGGAGCATCATCCATAATGATGTTATCGCAAGTCATGTGGCATTCCTCCAAGTTGAAGCTTTGGAGGCCTCTATTTCCAGAATATGCCCAATCCAATTCCCCAAAATATGGTATTTTCAAAATTCTTCTTGCAAGACCTTGGATGGGCCAAGTAGATCTTTGGGCAGTGTTGAAAATGTACTTGTGATGCTGCGGTGATATCAAAATGTACAATTTTTTTAATTCATACGAGAGAAAAACCGATTTACACGAAATCCACTGAATAGGTAGAATGTCAACCCTTGGTTATATTTGTGATGTGACATCATCACCTGTTTAGTGAATTTTGTTTATTAAACTTAGAATTATAAACTCAATGACATGAGCAACAGATTTTTATTCAAAATTATTTTGTGGTTTACAAAATCATTAAACACTTTTTTCATGAGCATTGCGATTTATAAACGAAAAATTTATGCCGTGCAAATTTGTGGTTTATAAATTAAAAAACTGGCAAAGTGCACAAATTCATCTTGTAAAGACTTTAAAAGCAACATGATCATGCACTTGTTTGGTTTATACATGTACATGTAACTGATGATCAACAATCAACTACATTCAATTTCATTAGGCTTGGATGGTATTGCATTTTTAATACTATGGTATTCGTGATAAAAATACTGCAATATTCACTGACATTGTGATATTCTGTGAATTGTGGTATTAAGTATGCGTCATCAAAAAGCAAAAGAGATACATGCAAGCAGTGACCTTCACTGGGAATGCCAGTAACTACCTCTGACTTCCAGTTGGACTCTAAAAGCTTCATGTACAGTAAAATCTCAATAAGTCGAAGCCCATTAAGTCGAAACTCCGTTTACCTCGACGTCTTTCTGTATTCCAGACAAAAGAATAGGCCTTTATGTACAGTAAACTATCCGTAACTCGAAACATCAATACCACTAAAGCCGCTTATCTGATGATGAATAAAAAATGATAAAAGAATGCTTTCCTTCATTATGAGTCATTACTGTCATGCGTACGACTTTTTTTTGATGAGCCGAGCATGTTCACACGGGCTGCCATTGTCATGTCGACAAGCACTGGGTGGGCATCAACCGCAACCGTAAAATAAGACCGTGTCCAAAACAAGCTTCCAGAGCTATAGCTACATCTATTGTCGGCGCGTCTCCATGCATTTCCAATGGAGTGAATACCAAGACCTAGCTCTAAACAGGAGCTTTGGATGCAGCCTAAATCAGGCATGAATGATACGCCCTCAAGTGCTTTGTACATGTATCACGTGACCCAGCACGGAAACCCTGACTGACTGGCCCGCACGGTGCATTATGTGGTAACAGCCCGATCAAGCAAAGCAAATGAATGAATTCTCAAGACGTAGACACAGGTACCGGTACATAACTTCATTGGTTTATTTATTTATGTACCACATAAAAACGTGTAATAATGATGTTTAGGAAAACTTACACAGTAGGGATAGCCTAAAATCCACTTTGTGTTCGACTCAGCTTGTAGGCCAACTGCCGTAAGCCAGTAAGGTTGCATGTGCACTGAAGCATGTAACTTTCGATAACTAGAATGTCGGATAACTCTAACTTTTCGTCAATTCCCCTGAGCTTCGACTTATTGAGATTTTACTGTATATGTACACTGAAACCACAAACTCAATGAGAGGGGAATGATAAAACTTCAAAGGCTTTTGGCTAGTGGGTTGGCAGTTGTTGAGGTTTCATGTTGTAAATCAACTCCAAGTGACAATACAGGTACTGGTTGACACTGGATGACTTGTACTGAGAAATTCACTCATTTGCACACTTCATAATGAAAGTGATCAACAACTTATTTCTTTGTTTATAGAGAATGATAACTAAGACTTGTCCATGTACACTTGTATGGTGTATGAATCATGAACGGTGATCATTGATGTACAGTTGAATTGTTTATAAAGTTATAGTCTGTGAAATGCCGTTTTTCATGCTTAAATCCAAGTTAGCCCCGGTTTACCAAACCCACATTATTATTTTAATTTCATTAATCCTGATCTACCATAGTGCCTGTACTTTGTATGTACTGAGAGCTGCACAAGATCAATTCAGATCAAGTACAAGTAAAAGGGTGCTGGAGAAGGTGCTTACATGTCCAATTTCAATTGCCTCTTGAGTTTACAGAATCAAATCAAAACCTAATGAAATGAATTTTAAATAGTTAGTGGACAGACATTCATGATACTTGGTACTAATATAAACCTTGATGCTGGGACTTCAGTACACAATGTATGTCATAATCTAATTATAAGCAATTTGAAGTTAACCCTTAATATTTTGAATTTCTGTTTACTACTTTCAGGAATTTATGCTTTGCAAGGAAGAAGAGAAAGATCCAAGGAAATGTCTTGAGGAGGGTCGACTGGTGACAGAGTGCACCTTCAACTTTTTCAGGCAGATCCAGGCATCTTGCAATGAATCTTTTACTGACTACTGGACTTGTCTAGACTACCGTGAGCAAAGCTTTCGAAGGTAAAGATAAGTCTTAACCGTGTCTCTTTTTCTAGTGCTGCAGCTGAACTATCGATCTGAACCAAAAATCATCAAACATCTCACTTTCGAACGAAACCAAACCAAGCAGGTTGGTTCACATGTTCAGCTTTAAAAGATCAATCACATTGGTAGTTCACAATTTCAATTTTTATGAAATTTAGTTGTATTTAAAACAATCTAGTAGGCAAAAACTAAAAAAGTTTGCTATTGACATCAATGGCACGAGTTTAAGTCCTCCATATTAAGCAAACTGAAAATGAAAGTCATTGGGAGCATCCAATCGAAGCCTGTGTTGATGATGTCATACTATGGCTCTGTAATTATTCCACTGTGTAATTATGTCAGGGCAAACGCGCGTGCGTGAGTGCTGTACTTGCTTGCACTTAACTGTGAATTAAAAGAGGTTGGAAAGAGGGACTTGGAACTGCTTTTCCATCGACAGTGATGATTAACACTGGATCTTAAGATAAAGTTGAATCATCCCAATCTGAACCGGCGTAAGGTCCTAATGAATTTTAGGCAGATGGCTGTGGTCATTTGCTAAGAATGACATCCAACTTACTGTATTCATTTTTTTTTCCCCCTGTTATTGAGCTGTAAAACCCCCATTACGGCCGCAAGGTCAAGAAATTCTGGGGAGAACAAGAGCTTTATTGCGACATCAAATTGCTAGATTTATTTGCCACCCTCATCAACACATACTCTTGAGCATTCTTGCTGTGGAACTGAAGTACTAAAATGACAAATTTTGTAACTGCAAAGAGAAGTTGCCACGTTAGTCATGATATTGGTAATTCCCTGTAATGACCAATTCCCTGTTAAATAACCATGTTATGCAAAGCAGTGTGATTAATCTTTAACCTAGGCATGGCATTGGTATCACATGGAATGCACTCAAGAAAGCTTTATAAGAAAACAAACATTTATAAACAAAGAATGGATAACAAGTTTGGTGCACTCACTGTGCCGCACTTGCACTCGGCACATGTGATTGCACACACGTACATGCACACAGTACACCCAATAGATGTATGTGTACTGTATATGCTGTAAACTTATGATGGCCCTGCATCACATAATGGTTATAAAAAGCATGTGTTGAGAATTCACTATTAATCAGCTGAGAACTTGCAAGGTACATGTACATGTATGTCATTTCTGCTGCACAACAAAGCTATGTACATGTAAATTCTCACTACATCTAGTTGTGCTTATGGTCAGTCCATCAGGTTGGGAAGAAGTGTGTTTTAAGGGCAACATCAACTTTGAAACTGCCTTTTAAAATTATTGGCAAGCATCTGTTAAATCAACTGTAATGTATCCCTACTGAAAATGCCCAATATATTTACCTATTGATACCTATTCACTTACCCAATAAACCCAATTCACTTACCCATTGGACCCAATTCACTTACCCATACGACCTCATTCACATACCAATTGGATACAGTTCACTTACCAATTCAACAACCAATTCTTTTTGCTCAGAATCAATTGGTTCAGTTGGTATGAACTGTAAATTCAGACCTTTTTTATCATTATTTATTTGGCCAAAACAGTAGACGTGACAGGATAACACAGAACGATTAGTACAGTACAAAACAAAACCATACTCCCAGATGGGCCATGGGCCCATCTTTGATCTGTAGACCTGCTGCCCCACATCTGGTTGTGGATCAATAAAAGGCAGAGATTAACTATTTAAGATAAAACGTTTGACTGTTGAAATATAGAAGAGATCAAAATGAGATACAAACTTCAAGGCAAGATACAGACATTAAAAGCAGAAAAATCATACTTACAAATGACAAAAAAAGGAATATTAAGAGACGTACTGGGCATAAAAACAGTGATATAAATAGAGAACAAAAACAAGTCCTTAAGTCTGTTGCGTGGCATAGTATTAGAACAAAATGGAGTCTCAAGAATTGAGTCTCGTCCAGTAGAACTTCAAGTCGGGTTTTGGCATCAGTCCCATGACTGTGGTCATGGACAGGAACACTGACATCTCGTCTAGTGTTGTGTCAAACCAGCTTTGCATGTGACTTGTACTTGCTTCTGATTGGCTTTTTGGGTGTTCAGTGGTATAGTGGTTGGTCTTGTTGGCAATGTGCAATGTCAGCTCTGGGGTGAAGAACTGCTAGAAGATTTTGAAAGGAGTGCTATTCTTGTCCAGTTCTTGCACTCGAACACCCGCTGTGCCTCGAAAGCCGTGTCGGTGGGGGAAGTTGTCATCAGCCATCCATTGAATGGACAAAGAAGTCTTGACCTTCTTGGCAGGCCTCGCTAACGGTGGTTGCCCATTAGAATCGCTGTCACTAGTTACATTTTCTGAACTATGTTCTGATTCCGACGTGAAATCTGAACCACTAGTCGCCGTCAAAGTTTCCTCATCACTTGAAGACATTGTTTAATGCAACTGAAGGGCTGGGAAGCAGCCAAGCAAATACCCAGCACTACATAAAACACTGCTTTTCGATGAAACAACCAATTACACTGAACAATGGCCTGTCTATATCCCAAGTGCGTGGTGCTGTTGTGCTGCCCACGTACTCCCAGCCCAGCAGGGCCTTAAACAATGGCGCACACACCATGTCAGTGGCCTGTATTCATCGCGCTCCGGGCCCACACAGGACACGTTGCATAAACCCTGACCGCGGCCTTTTGTGCCGCTCCACAGAGATTACCCAGGGTATTCAATCAAAGACAATGGGGTGTTCTGATGAAAAAAATCCCATTTACCAAGTATCAGGGGATCAACCAACTCTCCAGGTTGCCCCAGATTTCCATTCAATGCAAAGGTCCCAGTGATTACAGATGTACATTGAATAAAAGTTGCATGTTTGGTATGCTGCTACAGCCGTCTCCCGGTTATAAGACTTTTCTCCAGGCACGACTTGCCGTCTCCCGGCATGAAGGGGTTAAAAAGTTCATTAACAATATCTTGTAAGCCTCCCAGGTTTTGTACTTGACTTGTTTAAACTGAAAGTAAACCAATTGGAACGATTTGATTCCCATTTGAAATTCCAATTGATTGGGGAAAATAAACAGCAAAGAAAAAAGTGACAATTGAAACCAATTGCGTTCCATTTGAAATCTCCAATTGATGGGAGAAAACAAATGGGAGAGAAAACTCACCAACTGAAACCAATTGAGCACCGATTGGACCTAATTCATTCCAATTAAATCCAATTCAAAAATCAATTGGTTTGAATAGGCCATTTTTCCAGGGGGCAAACCAAAGCTTCAAAACAAGACCAAGCTTGACTACATGTACATTGAATAAACCATGTAATGTGTTGAAAGGTTTTGAAAATCGATGGGTGTCAAGTGCCATTTTTTTACAAAATGCGTGACTTGTTTTTCGATGAAACTATGAGATTATTTTTCTCACATAGAATGCAGCTTCAGTTACTTTGTTCCTACATGTACAATGTACATGAGTTTTATGTTCTGGAAAGGCCCAAAATTATTCCTTGAAAAACAAACTTTCGAAATTTCTGAATCTAACATGCGCCAGCTGTGATCCGAAAACATTGACTACAACATAACTTTGGAGTCAAACAATTTTGTGGAATGTCACATCCACGCAAGCGGTGTAAATTACTGTTTCCCACTCCTTACATTATTGGTTACCTTGAATGTAATTTATTGTTTGTGATGTTATCAGTTTGATTAAACAAACAGAAACAAATGATAGTTGCTTTTAAAACTGATTGGTATTTTTACCCAAAAAATGCGGTGCTGTTAAAATTTTGTTACACCAAGGCACGTTTTGTATTCCCCTTACACAAAATGGAACTGTCCATTTATGATCATTTGGGAGTACTCCTAATACAGTCCACAGTTTGCTCTTAAAGTGTTTTTCTAACTTACCAGCCGGACCAGCAGTGACAGGTCCAGCATTTTCACTAGTCCATATCTTCCCCCCACATTTCAACATTCTTATGAATGTCTTATGAATCTCCAGAATATTCATGATTATAATTCTGCTCAAGCAAATTTAACACACAAAGTGGTTACCTGCTGAAAATGGTTGTTTTATTTACAGGAGACAGAAAAAAATCCATATCATTATGAACAGTTTATGTGTACATGTATAGTACATGTTCCGGTGCTGTACATGTACATTCTTGACTGTGTCCAGTACCCGTAGCGATTGAACCAAACATGAAATCACAACGGCGACATCACTGTTGTCACAACTACATGTACCAATGACCTACAGTATCAGAAAAACCAGTATTGCCTATTCATAGCACACATAATGTATGTACACACCATACACACACGGCACGTCATATGTTTGGGATGCATATTCATGAACTTACATGTACCTCTACGATGCAGTGCATGAGAGCACATGCTGATTTAGATCTTGTACACAGAAGCAACGTCAAGCATTTTCGAGACTGGCCATACATGGTAGTATGGTAAGCGGCCCGCAGTTGAGTGCAATCGCGCCGCATGGGCATTGTAGAACAGAAGTTTCAGACAGTTTACTGCTGCTGCATTCATAGACTTCAGCATTACTTCTGCTGGGCTGGTGTCGGGGACCGAACTAGTCTTGGTTACAAAAGGTTCTATTTTATTTGGTTCAAAAACAAGCAGCAGCTAGAGGGCATGTATCACATGCAACTACATGTATTTCACTGCTTAGTTCAATGAACTTTTACTAGACTGCCAGACTACCTACACAAGGCCTTTTGCTAGACCACTGCGGTTTTTAGTTGAATTTGGCTAGCGGTCCAGCATTAATCACCTAACGCTGGGTGAAAAATTCTCTTGAATAACAGGCTGCCGGGCTGTGTTTTATGATTTTGATTTTGACATTCGTATTCATCATACTTTTATAGGAAAAAATCACCCAAGAAATGCATGTCATGTAATGAGAGTCAGAAAGCATTGAAGCGTGGCCCAGCACTTTAAAAAAATGCCATTGTTGTGTTTATTATGGTGTTACATAATGGCTTTTTTGTTCGCCCTCAGCCCTGCCAGGAAGGACAAAAAATGGGCGGGCTGGGCAACGGTTCGTCGGCCAGGCTTGCCTAAAGCACTGCGGTATTTCATGCCATTATACTTCACAGTAGAAGGATTACAGCCTATGCTACTCATAGCAGTCCGTCCGGTCCCCACATGAGGCTGCCCGGCTGTGTGAATCAGAACTGGCACTAAGTGGTTAAGGTTGAACCCTGCGATCAGTCAATCACGGAGGCATCTATTGGTAATGTTGTGTTTAGGTTGTTGAAAGTTGTGGCCTCATTGTTATGGTGCACACTGTTCGTTATGTCGCGGTGCAAGTTATAGCTTAGAAAGCATCCAAGGTAGGATTTTGTGTGTATGTTGTTTTCGCAGAGGATGTGATGCATTTGCATTGGCGCAAAGTAGCCTTCAAAATATTTATGTGTCCTTGCACAGGCAGCCTAAGTGTCATTTACGTGAGTTTCACATGTGTATTTTTGGTGTCAGTGTTCGCCTAGGTTGGCACCGGAACTGTGGGATCCGCCGGGCCGTCTTGGGAGCCCTGTGGAGGCTGTAGTTGTAGACCTGCAGACCATTGTGGGAGTGTGTGGAACCAAAGATGTCACTATCTTGCTCAGTTAGGCCCAAAAAATAGTTCTGCTTCCGATTATATGCCTCTCAAAACTTGGTTGCTCAACCGAAAGCTATTCCAGAGGGAAAAGTGATTTTGCAAGGCGGGCCAGTGCAGTGCTCCAATGCGTGACAAGATTTGGTTGGCGACTGTGGCCTAACTTGCCTTTCGTTTGATCATATGTCATCAAAGTCGTAATGTGAATAAGTTGTAATGGAATTTTACCACATCTCTAGTTTGTTTGGAAATCTCAAAATGCCACTAACAGTTCGAAAAAGACTGATGGAAAATCGCTCCTTTGGCCACTAGGGCGCTGTCCTGGGAAAGAATGCTGACTTGATACCAAGGTTCTTCTGTGAATACATCAAAAGCCTTAGTTTGGTAGTTGAATCTGTTTGTGAAATATAACCAAAATACGCTTCACTCGAAATCCAATTTGATCTTACATCCTGCAAATGAGGAAACTCCCTTTTGAGTATGCTGTTTTTTCACTTTTCACATATCCTGCGATCGTTTCATTGAGTCAAGTGTGGTTCAAACACAACTGCTTTTGGTCAGCAAACCACGGTCAGAAACTGACAAACCTCCAACAGTAACTTTCTATGGAATTTAACTCTTATGCAAACTTTGTGGAAACAGTTTAGAAAAAAAATCATGTTCACATCAAAGTTGCTCATGGATGGGGATGGAGATGAGATTTATTGCTTGTATTAACTTATTTTATACGTGGAAGTACTATATATAGCACATTTGTAGCAAGCTCTTCTGATGTCTCAACGTGCAATGTACATGTATGTACATGTGTGCACATGTCCGAACCTGAACCGAACTGAAGTTCGGCCACAAATTTCCAAACCATGTCCGAACCAAACCTGAACTGAACCTTGGCACCCACTTGCAGCACTTATGTACTTGGTGAACGAGCCTATACGTGTACTAAATCACATCTGATCCACAACTCACACATGGTTGTGAGAAATGGCTGCAGCCACTGTCATAGGCTGGTGTGTAATTTCAAGCTTGCAGCCAAAGTAATTCAGACATGGCTGTACTTGGCACAATCGCATCACAGTTAAGTGCTTGTGCATGCGGCATGCACATGAAACCAAATTGCGAAATGAGTCACAGCCTCCAGCTAGCACATACAGTAGCATACTATGTATCTACATTGCTACTGTGCAGTGCCATGTGCCTGACTACTGTACAGGCTAGGATGGAATGACATGACATTAAGCAAAGATATATACAAGCAGATGAAATAACTGAAACAAACCGTCCTCATTTTTGGACTCTTTATTTACATGTACATTGTATACTTCATCAATACGTGGCATTAAACTCTTAGGCTGTGACAGGGGAATTTTAAGTGTGGTGGAGAAAGTCATAGCGTGGTGGAGTGAGCACAGTTTTGCTGCAAGTGTGGCAGACCTGCCATGCCTCGGTATACCTGGCGAGAGTACTGTTCCCTGTGTTGGTACTTATCTTGTGTCATTAACCGTAACCCCCTTGGTCCTTTCTGCTAGGAACCCTCCTCAATCCTCCAGAATCCTCCAATTTGGGGGATGAAAACATTGTATTCTCCCTCAATCCTCCGAAATCCTCCCATATTTCTTGAAAATGTTACTTGGAGGTGTGCCTATTGCCTCAATCCTTCAAAATTCTCTGACAATTCCTGTCATTATGTTCAGGCAGCGCAAATGGCATTCTTGAGCAGTGCGGTTGATTCAAAAGAAATATTGGGCTGAATTAATGCATGACTGAACAAGAACAACTCAAGGTCTAACCCCACAACCTTCACTCGTGGCATCTTTCACAATCAGCCATGCACTTTTGGCATTCACCCTCAATCCTCCAAAGTCCTCAAAACCACCTGGAGGATTTTGGAGGATTGAGGAGGGTTAAGGTTAACTCCCAAGTTGCACCTCTGTGGCAGTTTGACTTAGTACTTCTTGGTTGAAATATAACATTCCAACACAGTATTTTTTTCTACAATAACTACTGTACTAATTTTCTCATTGTTTAAACAGTTTTGTAGGGGTAGGAAAGCTTCTGCTGTTTAAATGTTCACTTGTGTTTGTTTGTTTGTTTGTTTGTTTTTATTTAATCAGGTGTCGTAAGACTCAGGCAGAGTTTGACAAATGTGTTCTTGACAATCTTGGCTGGGTTCGACCTGAACTTGGTGAAATCAACAAGGTAAGTTATTAAAAGGAATGTAAAGCATGTTTCCAGTAAAGATTGACCCACCTGTCAAGATGGATCATTATTTGTGAAAAAGTTGTCTCGCAATTGGGAACTGCTGAAAACGGATCTAGCATTAGAACCAGGAAGAAAAGCGTCGTCGTCATCACTCCAGTTGATCCTGTAAGTTTAAAATTCAAAGTTTACATTTGGGAAAAAGTTTTGTAAAAGCTAAACACATACGGTGGACTACTGGCCAGTTAATCACTGAAATTCGACATTTTCCAGATGTAATCCGACTGAACAACTTTCGCAATCCGAAACAAAAAGAAAATGGCTGTGATAGTGATGGTCATCTTGCCAGCCAGGCATTACACTTTCATGTACTGTACATGTACGTGATTTCACTTATTCAGTGCACTGCCATATAGTGTACATTGTACATGTATGTACACGTACACACATACACAAAGCTGGAGCAATGGCTCTGCGTGTGCAGTGGTTCACTACATGTTGTCGGTCACCTTTGCAGTCTATGGTCACAAGCCCTGCTGAGATAATGAGGTCCGGGGTCAGGCTTATCGTACTGTGGACCAGCAATACACAGTAAAAACCGCAAAGCGTGTATTGAACAGCGTGTCAGGTTCACTGATCGTGTTAGCGTGTTGGCTAAAATTCTGACCTGTACATGTACCTTATTTGTACCTGTATCATATATTTCAAACAATAAAAATTGCTACAGGTCCTTCATTGTAAAGATTGATCTATAACAAATGCACTTGATGATCACCAATAGTCAGTTTCCTAGATCCTGTTGTCTAGATGCCATCAACTTCTTATCCATTTGAAAAGTGTATGATGCACTCAAGTTCTAATAAAAATTGATCAGTAATCCACCGTGTGTGAAGGAGACACAACAGAAATATTTTCAGAATCTAAATGTTTTAAATTAGATGCTTTAGATCAATGAAAGTGATGATGACACTTCTAGTTCTGGATCAGTTTAACCAGTTCCGAATCACTTTAACCACTACCTGCCGGGGACTCCGAAATCGGAGCCGTATGGTTTATATGCGTGGCCGGGGTCTCCAAACTCGGACAAAGGAAACAGGGCCCTGTAACAAGAGACCGTACTCCGAACAAAAGACCAGGCTGCTGTGCATTACCGGCATTTTTCACTCTCAAAAGTGGTGATAATCAAGCGTTGTTTTGAAACCGTATACCTGGGCTTGGGGCATTGAGAGCGAGCGAATTACCACCGGGGACAAAGGCGCTCCACCACCGCAGCGATGAGCCACACAGTACCGCTGTACGCTAATCTGGCCCCTATTGAAAAGAGGTCAGGAGTGCACTGAGCCAGGTTTGTGAACAAAAGACAGTTATACAACACTGCACAATCTGGGCTCTGTTTACAAGGCTCCTGATGTGGCTGAAATACTCAAGCGTCAATGAAGGCAACCTGTCAACTTAGAGTAGTGCCTAAAGATTACTTGGCGTGGCTATAAACGACCGTTAAATGAAATGATGAATTTTTGAAGGATTTTGAAAATGGAAAAAATTATAGTCATGCCGGCCCAGCATCATCAACATTGAAAAATGCCCCGGCATGAAGTGGTTAAAACTTCTTCAGGCATAAAAATTAATCCTACCAAAAAATCCTATCATCAGACATACTGTATCAAGCTGACCTCTTGCTGAAAAATTTTTTTTTGCTTTCTGAAAATTTAATCATATTTCTTAATTCTGGTGAATTAAAAAGAGAACATTCGACTTGACTTTTTTCGGCTGTGCTGTGAGCTGCCGATCTTATCCCCCGTGCCGCACAGTTGACAAACCCATTATATCACATACGAATCTATTCAGCGTGTGCAGTCGACTTCCCCACACCACATAATGTGTTTGTACTTGTTTACACAACCTAAAACTAGAAGCTAGAAAACATGCAGCTTCTGGCAAATTTTCATAAAATGGAGCCTGTAAGTTCTGTTTCAATGTGAAATTTCACTAAAATGATATTTGCACAACAAGGAGCTTATATTTTAACTTGAAAAACAGCACTGACTGCAAGTGTGATATCGGACAACTTGATAACTTTTCTTTTCAAGCAATTTGGATATACATGTAACTTGGAAAAATCTGGAACGACTGCATGTGTGTGTGTCTTCTGCGTGTTAAATTCCCATTTCGTTGCCACAACAGTGAGACATGTCGAGATCTCGGAGTGAATTATGGATATGATCCATGTGGCACCAACATATATTAACCCAAGCCATGTCGATCATGTTGGGTATGTCAAGCCATGCCCGATATTGGTACAAATGTGGCCCAACTGAAAGTACTGCTGCTACATGTGCACTGTACACACATCGTGTGATCGGTGAGGCAGTCCAGGTGCTTTCCCCTCATCACTTTCCTAAGTTACAATGCACATGTAGCTTGCTTCTGAAGATGATTGATTCGTATGAACAAGTCCAAAAAATCCTTTCGCATATTACTCAGCAGCAACCACAGGGAGTTTAGAACTCTAGCCTTATTGTGTTGATGAACTTTGTCCAGGCACAAGTCAATGTGAATGTACAGTACATATTGCACAGACGTGGCGGACATTTGGGAAACTATGAGAAGGACCTTGTTTTGCTGGCAATTCTGTCCAAAACCATCAAGTACCGGGCAATTCCATCGTTATGGACATTACGTTTGTATGCAACTTCCAAGTTTCAATTGAAAACGAATAACCTTGTGGTAAAAAAAAGTTAATTTGCTTTTATACTCGTAGCCTATATTCATGTGTTGAACATATAGATCATACATGTAGAAACTTTGTTTTAACTTCACTGATTAATTAGCCAGAAGCATGAGAAGTGAATGTTACGCATCATGGCATGGCTTTTTGACCTTTGTATATTTCAGTAAAACTCTGTGACGTGCTTCCTTTTGCTCTTTATGCAAAATATGTTGCCGTTAGTCCAAGTCCATTCTATCCAGGCATAAATTGAAAGTTAGAAAAAGAGTACACCTGTATAGTCCAAGTTTGTTAATTAAAACTATTACGGGTGTTGCATTTTATGCTACGGATGTTACATGTATAGAAATGATATTCCTATAGATTCATTAAGTTTAGGTGTACCTCTAACAAGCAATAGTGGAAAAAACAATTTGTAAAATCAATTTGAAACTTTGGCAGTCATGTCACAGTTGATGTGGAATTGTCCTACACAAGACCTGGGTGTGTTTCATTTAATGACAAAATGCAGAAAGTCATGCATTCGAGCCTGATGGATGAAATAATCAATGAGTGGATGAGAACATAGCTTTTTGAGCGTGCCTCCATCGTGGCACTTACAAAACAAAGCACACTTTAAATCCTGACTCTTAACATGACGTTTCAGGGTTACTTGCGTATCATTAATATGTAATGAATGTTTCTAAAATCATTGATTGAAGCCTTGTTGGCTGTCCATGGATGTTTTTGACATTTTTTCTGCCATAAATAGGAAAGCTGTTCCATCTTTTTCATGCTTATTTCTTAAGATGGTCTTGTCATCGTTTTGATCCGGCTCATTTTTGTAAAAAGCTATATATAGGTGCCATTTGAATTCCTCTTTCTGTCTTAGTAGGTCATTCTCAAGATGGCTTATTATTTTAACTAGGACTCAGAACAGAAAATACTGTAGATGTGTGTTGGCCTGGATTCGATTGTTAAAACAATTTTCTAACAGGACAATATTTTATGGTGAAAATGGTGTAATGGACATAAACCAGGGGAAGTAACAGTGAAAACTAAGGAGAAAACAAGTGAACACTGCGGAGAAAACAGGTGAAAAATAAGGGGAAAATAGGGAAAAACTAAGGGGAAAACAAAGCTACCATAGAATTGGATTTCAGCTTTTTTTCCTTACTGGCTGTGTACAAAAGTATAGAAGATTTTCACAGTTCAGCTTCGTTGTGCCTTTTTTCCAGCTGTTTTCAGCTATTTGGTCATTGGTCAATCTCACCCTGGTGTTTAAAAAGTGCACTTTTCGGTTCAAATATTTTTTTTGAGTCAAACAGTCTTCATACATTTAAAAAGAGTACTGACGTACACAAAAATTGATTCTAAGAAAAATTTGTTTCATGGATCCTTTATACATAATGAGCTAAATGTACACATTGCCCAAAGTTTCTTAATACGGATACTTTTCATTTACCGTTAGCATTTTACCTGCCAGAAAGTTAGAGAAGGAAGGATGTACAACATTCCTGGTTTCATTTCAACAATTTGTCTTTCCGTGAAAATTATCTTCAAACTATTATACAACTAACGGCACATTAAGTCCCCATGGTCCCCATCAAATTGTGACTTGACCATTTGACATGGAATAAGAGTAGTACATGTACAAATACAACTGAACAAAAGAAAAATTATATACATTATAACAAACAGATTGCATGGGAAATACTGTAATTTTGCCATTGAGCTTAGGTGATAAACATTTGTTGTACTTTGCCATATTTTAAAAGACTGTTTAGATCCTTCCTTTCCTATCTTCACTCCAGTTTTGTAGTTTTGAAAGTATTTTTCCTTTGTCAGTTGGGTAGCTGTTTGTTTGGGCTTTTTAATGAAATATTCATGTTCTTAGATTTTAAGCTGTATTCAGCCAAGACTATGGTCACAGTGCAGGATGCTTTTATTTACTGCAAGTGGAGAGATGCTTTATTACTGAATTTAAATTTATATTGTTTTTCTTTTAATGAACAGGTGACAATTGTCAAGACTGAGAGACCACTTCCTGAGCTAGTACCCAGGCACAAGCCAGAACCAACCTATGTGCCTGAAATTGAACCAGGCAGCACCCCAATTCCCAAGCATGGGTCCAGATGGTTTTTCTGGTGGTAAAAAAAAATGCATACATGGGTTTGAATTTGCAGTTTTACAGTTGTTTTCCCATTGTTATGATCACAGAGAATTTGTAGCATGAATAGTTTCTAGGTATTCGAAGTGACTTGATACCTGTACCATCTCCATTTGAATGTTAATGTTGTAAATGTGTGTATACGGTAGAATGATGTAGTCTTGGATACTTCAACCACTTATGAAGTACATGTTTGTACTTTGATATTCTATCATAGACAGCCCTTTCAGCTCTGGAATGTTTCTACAACAGTTGAATAGAATCATGCAGCACACAAGTACTGCAAAGTGTAGATCTACATGCATGACATGTATATATACAAAGAGTAGTATAATTTGAAAATGTGAGTTATTTAATCACATTACCCTTTGTAAGACAGCAGATTTCCATGAATCGTTCACGTACTTGCAAATATGGGTACTGTAGGGCAGGGAGCAAAGGTCTTTCTAAGGGGTAGAGCAAAGCAATATCAACAGCAAACTGATAAACCAACAACTGTGGAAGGGGATCATTTTCAATGTGTTTTTGAGCAAATTGATGAATTTCATCCAGGGGAGAAAAAGGAAGGATGAACCCAATGGCCCCTAACACATAAAATCAAGAAGAAAATAACTTGAAAATGTAAACAAATTTTGCAAAAGCATTTGTTACAAAAATGGCTAAAGAAGCCAGAAATTGTCTCAGACCACACCACAGAGCATTTATTCCCCAACCCTGCATCACTCTGGACTTCACGCTCACATTTGTTCTTATCAGGGCTATGTCCCCTCCACTTTTCAAAATGGATTGATGGCCTTGGTCACAACTTATCTCAGATGACTATTAAACCAAACGCTTTTTGGGGGAGTCCATTCTAGCAACATCTTTCTGTACGTACATGTATTTTATTGAAGACAAATATAAGTTCTGTGTAAAATGTAATTTATCAGTAAACATAAGGAACCTACCAGTCTAGAAGAAATCAGTTTGACTTTATATAAGATATCAGGATCCATTTATGATTAGTTTTGGGGGCATTAAGTTGGCACATTTACATGTCAGTGTTGGTACTGTCTAAATAAGAGTTGTACGCACTGTACAGAAAGATGACAACTCTGGCGAAGCATTTCAATCTGTTGGATTTTGTAGCCTTGTGAAACCAGTGGTATATGTGGTTAAAAATTTAACAGTCTACGGCATTCAACCTACCCAGATTACCAATACATTGCATATTTCCTACATTTTCCATTAGCTGGTAGTACACCCTCAACTCCCATATTGCACAGTGAAGTGACTGCCACATTTTTCCTCTTTTTCTTAGCACCATTATGATCAGACATGTATTGTCCAATACTGAGAGTTTTTAGAGTTTTATTTGCTAATTTTACAGTCCAATGCACTCAACCTACCCAAACAATAACTAAATATGCAAAGTTTCTTTGCGTCTTTTTCTATTTGTTAAAACATTGATCAACCATAGTGCGCCCTCCAGGCCCATGATGCATAGTAGTGCCGCCACCATGTTCGTCTTTCTTTTTCTTAGCATCAATTTTGGCATCTTCAAATTCAAGTTTTCAGTTTTGCTACATGTTCCTATATTAATTTGATCAACCATGCTATGCATCAACCTGCCAGCCGACCCCCGAGACTCCTGCACTGGGGGCATGTACATGTAGGTGTGAAATGGAGAAGTACACTATCCAGGCCAACTCCCCACCATTCCACAGAGCTATTCCAGTGAATACGACACTAGAATACGTAGGACCAGCCTACTGTGTGCGACCCTCCCCCAACGGTGCCTGGTCACGAAGGCCTATGGCAGATGAGTCCGCACCTCTCCCGCAGGCTCCGCAACGACCACTACAAGCTTGATCCTACCAACGTCAGGGCCTGGGTGCCCCTGAGATCAGGGGCACCCAGGCATGAAACAAACAACAGCGATCTCTGGCCCCGCCTTGGTGATTATGCAATTCGAATCGGCATCCATGCCTCAGGTGTCCAAATTCACCAAACTTAGGGCCCGCTACCATTTAGACCCGGTTTAAAAAGGGCCCCTCGGTAGCCCGCCCTGTATAATGCCTGCCCGGTATTCAGGCAACTCCAGGCCAGTATCAGGCCTGTCTGCACATCGGCATTTCAAAGTCCCTGATGGAAGGCTTTCCCCACCATGCTTCCACAGATGAATAGGGGTCTAAGTGGATTAGTGTAAACATTGTATAGAGCTGAAGTATTAAAAACCACAAGCAGGTTCCTTCTGGGATAGATTACATGTACATGTACCAGTACTTGCAAAAAATAGACCTCAGGATGGTGAAGTTTGAGATCAACAATCAGTCAAGCATCCCAGGCTGGTAGCCAGGCTGGTATGAAAGGGGTTTTTGCAACAGGGCGAGCTTACCGGGGGGGCCCTTTTCAAACCGGGTCGCCCTTTTCAAACCGGGTCTAAATGGTTGCCGGCCCTTACACTATCATGGCTCTTACATGGCTCTTACATGCTCCTTTCATCCCATATTCCCAGGATTTTCCAAGGGGCTCTTTGGTATTTTTTCTGCGCATCTATTTCCACTATGGCTCGCCAGGCCCTGCACACTTCCAGACACGAGTTCCTCTGAAGTGGACCTTCCATGATCACTTGTTTTTGTCACCACAGGTCACTTCTTTTGACTGCACCCCAAGTGATCAAACAAAGAGGTGTTCTCGGCAAGGCTCTGCGCATTTCTCCATTCATTGCTTGTGGCCATTGAGCCAGATAATAAACTGGGATATCGTGGTACTGTACCTTTTCGTGTCCACGGAGGTTCCTGCCTTGAACAAGAAATATTAACACTTTGCTTCTGTCAGGCAAAACTATTATGAGTCTTATTTTCTCAGAGCGATCTCCTATCTTCGGACGTTCCTTTTTTGACTTTCAAGTTTTTATTCCTTCCCATACATGCAGCCTGACTTTAATTCTCTGTGCATGCAGTAAAACAGCCGAAGGTCTCCCACACAGGGACGTAAACAGTCACTCCGGACATAGGACAAGGCTCATTTTCAATTCCCATGAATGCTTCAATATCCTTTTTCATGTCCTGGAATTATGGATTGTTGCTAAGGACAACTTCATCCAACTTAGCTAGTCTTCTCACAATAACTCCTTGCTCGATAAAGATAAAGTCAAAGCAGCTATGTGGAGTCTTTCTTCATGGTCTCTTTTTGCACTTGGAAGGGATTTCTCCCTGCTGTCTAACCCCCAATGCAGTCGTACTGGGGTCCCCTGGACACCCCTCCCCCCCAAAAAAATTACCTCCATCTTCAAGTAATTTATGAAGTTTTCTTTGCTTATCTACATAATTTATACCCATAGAACTATTGTTCAGGAATGGGTGTGATAAGTTTCCTGTTTGATGATGTAAATTAAATTTCAGCCAACTCTATACTGGTTTGGCGATGCAACTGACACCTCTTGTGGCGGACCAGTAGACCCGCCTGATAGAAGATGGAATTGACCTGGCCTGACCCCACAAATACTTTTATTAACCTTGTGCAATGATGAGCGGCTACCCTGACACAAGGGGGGATATCAGCTAACAAACAGCGGACTAAGCCTAGGAGCAGTTCGTTTGGTGGAAATGTACTACCACTTAGAAGAGACAGATAAATACTGGTATCAGAGCAAGGAAATACAAGGAAACCTTAAATAAACCTCACAATGACACAGGATTTCCAAGGACAATTAATCAATGCAATAGGTTTTTTACAAATATAAATCAACGAGGCATATCAAACACAAGGTTTATTTATACAATACACCTCACAAGGCAATTCAATAAGCCTCACGTGGTAAACCTAATCACATGGCAAGTTGGCAACTCCAACATAAACCAGACTATTGCCACTGTTACACACTACTAGCAAGCAGTGATAATTTACGTGGAGTGTTAATCAAACAAGGGATAATAACCCTCACTACCCAGGGTCGATTAATCCAGGGGATAATAACCCTTACAGGAACCAGAGCGCTCCCAGTAACCCTCAAGGCAAGCCAGTTCAATGATAACCGGATCACAACCCAGCCGTCACCCCACCTACAGTGTTCATAGACGGCAAGCAATCCACAACAAATCACCGTACCACTAGCTCTCGGCCAAGGGCTAACACCTTACGCTCTAGACTGTTCCCACTCTAACCAAGACCCAATAAACTGTTCACTACTACATGTACTACTCCACCTTCCGGTCAATATGACGCAGCGCTCTCCAGTGCAGCGTCCCACGCTACTTCACAGTCGGCGCAATGTACAGCTCATGTTAGGCGGCAATCCTATCACTGTGCGACCCAGCAGTGAAACTAACAGTGTGCGCCTTAAGCACGCCGCAAGCGCCCAGACCTAGTGCTTTACGCACCACTGACTGGTCAATGTATGCATTAATAATTAATGACTTAGACTGGCACCCATGCCTACCCCTGTTTCGTCACACAGGAAAGGCCTTTGCAAACTAACCGGTGGCCACTACAAATACGGAGGACAAACACTAGAACAGTTTCTCATCCTCCTTCCCTTGCCCCCACCTCCTTACCACTCAAATCCTGCTCTGCTCTCTTCTCAACCCTCGCAAGCAGTGATGGAAGATGCAGACCTGAAGGGAACATCGACGCTGCGTCCTGTCTTGTGGGTCTGACACCAACTGACTACATCACTTCTCAAGTGGCCTCAATGCCCGTACTTACAAGTACTACCTAAGTAGTAAGGTTCTAGCAGACATCTTGCCGGTCAGATGAATACCTGTGTCTACCCTTTCGGCTGCCCACTTGGATTCATGTCTGCCCCTTCATTCAGCCAAACTCATTATTGAATCCAATCTTAGTCGATAATTATTACATGGGTATTGGAAACAAAAGGAAGAAGATTTACAATAGTTATAAACTGGATAATCATTCTTTGGCAACGGATCATCACCAGTATCTGGGAGTCTTCCTCTCCCACAGATCAAAATGGGATTACCATTATGATTATAAGGTCAAGAAGGCTAAGCAGGTCCTTGGTACATGTATGTTGCATAGGAACTTAAAGCAGTGCTCCAAAATGGCAAAAACTACTGCTTCTTTAGCACTTGTTCGTTCACACCTGGAATATGCTTCAGTAGTATGTGATCCCTTCGAGGCTAAATACATCAATAAGCTTGAGATAGTACAACGACGTGCAGCACGCTTTATTAACAACAACTTTAGTAAAGAGGCTAGTGTGACCGATGTGATCACAAACCTTGGGTGGGAAACCCTAAAACAGCATTGTGAAGCTGCTAGATTGATATTCATGAAACAAATGCATATGGGTACATCTGCTGTTCCAAAGTGTATTGTCATGTATGCTTCCACGAGACCACGTAGAACTGTCACTGGAAATAGTTCTCAACTTGATTTGCCATACAGCGGAACTGAAGTGCATAGGAATTCCTTTGTACTCAGAACTTGTAGAGATTAGAACAGGCTTCCTGATACAGTAGTCTCAACAATTTCAATCAGCTCTTTGGGGGATCAGGTTGTTGAGTTTATCAGATCCATGGATAGGAGCTTAAATTAATTTTGTGTCACTCCGTCTTCTCCCGTGGCTATACATGGATTCTGTGGATTCTGTGAATCTGTTGCCACGTACTGAAGAAGTAGAAGAAAGACCTATTCCTTGCTCACACGCAGCAATCCTAAGAAGATTATAGTTACGTAAGTAATATGGAATAACATTCTTTGCTCATCGCCAAAGGCTGATGTTCTTGCACAGAATTTAGAGAAGGAAATTACATGTACGTCACACAGGGTCACAGCTAACAACATGCAGAGAGCATTGTGGGTAAATTTCGGCCAGGTGCAAGAGCTCGCACAATGTGTTACACGAGCGACAGTTATCTTTTTTTTTTTCTTCCTAATTGCTGAATATATTCTCTCTGCACTTTATTCATTCATCCGGTATTTATCAATATAACCAATGATTTGAAATATATCGCCAAAAGATACTTGATCAGTGATACTTAGTAAGGTGATAATTTACCATTCTGTGATTGTACCAAGGCCATATTTTTTCATATAACGGACAATTTGCCTGTGTCAAAGCACTGTCATTGGCAAACCAACAGGAAGTGATAACCTCGCGATTGCAGCCAATCACATTTCAAAGCCATCAGCCCTTCCCAGTGCCGTGTTGGGCGCTGGGTGACGACCGAAA